AGAAAAATAACCACCAAAAGTGGAAAGGGAAAGATGAGAAGCCAAAGGCAAATGGTTCAGAAACTGAATGTTATCGTTGCGGTGAAAAAGGGCATTGGGCAAATATTTATCGTAAACCAAGACATTTGGTTGAGCTTTATCAAGCATCTCTAAAGAATAAAGGCCCTGAAGCTAATTTTGTCTATGACAATGAATTTGACATCACTCACTTAGATGTGTCAGACTTCTTTGAGCGTCCTAATGAAAAAATAGACCACTTGATCGGTGATGGATCTGTGGTTAAAGAAGATTGAGTAGTTTGATTTTATTTTATTTTGCTTATTCGTATTAGTTAGTGAATAAACATCAATTATCGTAGTTTACATGAGTAGTAGTTTTAATTAGTATGTCGAATTAGTATAATATGTCATTGAATAAAGTTTGAGAATGGTCAAAATTTATAGTCAGTATCAGTTGTAATTTATGTTAGGAGCCGAGAATCGTAAAAAAAAAATTACAAAAAAAAGGACGAAAACTTGCAAATGAAAAAGTGTCTTACAAACTAGCGTGAAACTATTTGCTAAAGCTTTTAAATCAACTGACACTATACGAAATTTTTATCAAAATGCAATATTTGTTTTCTAATTAAGTTGTTCAATCAAAGATTGTGTCTTACGAAATATCATCACACTTATTGAATAAGTCATTATTGAGTTATTGACTTCACTTTGTCTCTTTTTCTTTATCTTTAAAAATACTAATATTTATTCGTATAATTCTTTTGTATGTCAAACCATGGGAAGCAAATATGGATATCTCATAAAACAAACTTGGATCAAAGTTCAATTGTAAAAATATTTGTTTAATTGATTCATGTACGACACATACAATATTCAAAGAGAAGAAATATTTCTCTCATTTAAGTACGTGTAAGGCAGATGCTACTACAATTTCTGGCAGTAGTAATTTAATTGAAGGCTCTGGAAGAGCTGCTATAACTCTGCCCAAGGGTACAATACTTATCATAGATAATGCAGTGTTCTCCTCCAAATACAAAAGGAACTTGTTGAGTTTTAAAGATATCCGCCGAAATGGATATTATATTGAGACAATAGATGAGAATAATCTTGAATATCTCATCATTACCAAGAATGTCTCTGGCCAAAAGAGGGTTATTGAGAAGTTTCCATCTTTATCTTGTGGCCTGTATTGGACAAGAATTAGTGCAATTGAGGCACATTCTATTGTAAACCAAAAGGTAACTGATTCCAATACTTTTGTACTTTGGCATGATCGATTGGGACATCCTGGATCAATTATGATGAGACAGATTATAGAAAACTCAAATGGGCATCCATTAAAGAATTTAAAGATTCTTTTAAATAATAAATTTTCTTGCACTTCTTGTTATCAAAGCAAGTTAATTATTACACCATCACCAACAAATGTTGGGATTGAGTCCCCTGTGTTTTTGGAACGTATACAAGGGGACATTTGTGGACCTATTCACCCACTTAGTGGGTCATTTAGATATTTTATGGTCTTAATAGATGCATATTCTAGATGGTCTCATTTGTGCCTATTGTCATCTCGCAACCTCGCATTTTTAAAATTAATGGCACAAATAATTCGATTACGGGCGCAATTCCCCGATAATCCAATTAAGTCTATTAGACTTGATAATGCTGCTGAGTTTTCATCCCAAGCATTTAATGGTTATTGCTTATCAATTGTGGAACATCCTGTAGCTCATATTCACACTCAAAATGGCCTAGCAGAGTCTTTAATCAAACGTCTGCAATTGATAGCAAGACCGTTACTCATGAAAATGAGGCTGCCCACTTCTGTTTGGGGTCACGCCATTTTGCATGCAGCAATGCTAGTTTGTCTCAGACCGACAAATTATCATAAATATTTTCCTTTGCAATTAGTTTTGGGTCATGAACCTAGTATATGTGCCTGTAGCCCCGCCATATCGCACCAAAATGGGTCCCCAAAGAAGGTTAGGAATATATGTTGGGTTTGAATCACCCTCCATTATTCGCTACCTCGAAACATTAACGGGGGATTTGTTCACTGCTCGATTTGCAGACTGTCGATTCGATGAGATACTTTTCCCAAAATTAGGGGGAGAAAATGGTGAAACCAAACGGGAAATTTTGTGAAAAAATCCATTATTATCTCATCTTGATCCACGTGCCTCTATTTGTAAAAAAGAGGTGCAAAATATTATCCATTTGTAGAGAATAGCAAATCAAATGCCAGACGCATTTATGGATCTGAAAAGGATATCAAAATCACATATCCCTGCAGAGAATGTTCCAATCCGTATTGATGTCCCTATTGAACAATCTTCTAGTGTCATAGCTAATGAGCTAAAAGCATGCCTAAAACGTGGCAGACCATTGGGTTCTAAGGATAGAAATCCTAGAAAAAGGAAAACAAATGATCAAGATGACACTACGAAAGAGTCTCGTGAAGAAATCCACGATATAACCAATCCTTATATTCATGAGGAAATCACTGATCCTGAGACTCAAGAAAATAAGGAACTATCAATAAATCCAATCGATATTGAGACAAATTTGAATCGATTGGATATAGTGGTGGATTATGTCTTTGCATATAATGTTGCATCTAGCATTATGCAAGATAGTGAGGACTTGAACCTCAATCTGTTGGAGAATGTCGACAAAGACGTGATTGGCCAAAACGGCAAGAAGCAATCCAATTAGAGTTGAATTCACTTGCAAAACGTGAAGTTTTTGGACCTGTAGTCCAAACACCTAATGGTGTTAAGCCTGTTGGCTATAAATGGGTCTTTGTACGCAAGAGGAATGAGAAAAATGAGGTAAAGATATAAGGCACGCCTTGTTGCACAAGGATTTTCACAAAGGCCTGGTGTCGATTATGAAGAGATATATTCACCCGTTATGGATGCTATAACGTTCAGTTATCTCATTAGTTTTGCTGTCCATGAAAAGCTTGACATGCATTTAATGGATGTGGTTACTGTCTACCTTTATGGCTCACTTGATAATGAGATATACATAAAAATTTCCGAGGGATTTAAAATGCCTAACGCACATAATTCAAAGTTCCGGGAAATATTTTCAATCAAATTGCAAAGATCTTTGTATGGTCTAAAGCAATCAGGACGTATGTGGTATAATCGTCTTAGTGAGTATTTATAAAAGGAAGGTTATATAAATAATGCCATTTGTCCATGTATTTTTATAAAGAAAACAACATCGGAATTTATTGTACTTGCCGTATATGTTAATGACATAAACCTTATTGGAACTCCTATAGAACTCCAAAAGGCAATTGATTATTTAAAGAAAGAATTCGAGATGAAAGATCTCGGAAAGACAAAATTATGTCTTGGTTTGCAAATTGAATATTTGGCAAACGGAATTTTTGTTCATCAATCTGCCTACATAGAAAAGGTATTGAAACGGTTTTACATGGATGGAGCACATCCATTAAGTACTCCGATGGTTGTTCGATCACTTGATGTGAATAAGGATCCATTCCGGCCTCAAGAAAAAAATGAAGAGCTACTTGGTCCGAAGTACCATATCTTAGTGCAATTGGTGCACTAATGTATCTTGCTAACACTACAAGGCCTGACATAACTTTTTTAGTCAATGTCTTAGCAAGATATAACTCTGCTCCTAGATGGAGATATTGAAATGGAATCAAACACATATTGTGGTATCTAAAAGGAACTACCAATATGGGCTTATTTTATGGCAATAATTGCAGTCCCGATCTTGTTGGTTATGCCGATGCTGGATATTTATCCGATCCACACAAGGCTCGATCTCAAACAGGTTATGTGTTTACCTGTGGAGGCACTGCCATATCTTGGCGATCGACTAAGCAATCAATCGTGGCTACTTCATCTAATCATGCTGAGATAATTGCTATTCGTGAAGCAAGTCGAGAGTGTGTGTGGTTGAGGTCTATAATACATCTTATTCGAGACAAATATGGTTTGAAATGTGACAAACTACCCACAATTTTGTATGAAGACAATGCAACATGCACAACCCAATTGAAGGGAGGATTCATAAAAGGAGATAAGACAAAACACATTTCACCAAAGTTAGTTTTTACACATGATCTTCAAAAGAATGGTGATATCAATGTGCAACAGATTCGTTCAAGTGATAATATGGCTGATTTGTTCACAAAATCTCTACCGACGTCAACCTTCAAGAAGCTAGTGCACAAGATTGGGATGCGAAGGCTCAAGGATGTGAAATGATGCTCTCATCAGGGGGAGTTTAATGCGCGTTGCACTCTTTTTCCCTTACAAGGTTTTGTCCCACTGGATTTTCCTTGCAAGATTTTTAACGAGGCAACCAAAAGGCGTATTGTTAGATATGTGTACTCTTTTTCCTTTACTAGATTTTTTCCCATTGGGTTTTATTTTAGTTAAGGTTTTAACGAGGCACATTACTTATTGAGTAGACATTCAAGGGGGAGTGTTATGAATAGAATTGTAATGAGAGTGAATGTCTATCTTTTAGAGAGTTTTACTTTGTGGCTAAGTCATTTTTCCCCTATAAATAGAGGGGTCTTACCCCATTGTAAACTATCCCAAAATTCAATAAGAATTACTCTCTCTTTCTCTGCAATATTGTTCTTCTACTTTTATTGTTTCATTAAAAATGTCACTTATTATGGATAGCAAAGAGTAACATTTTTATGACAAATACTCAATAACATAAATTTAACGACATATACTTTGATACTAAAAAGTTACTAACCATAGGAAAATCAAATGAACGGAGTCGGTGGATTAATGCCTGGACAATGTTTATTTCCTTTAACAGTCAAATCTGCTCTATAAGATTTACATTGTTTTCACATTTAGATTTAAGCAGGTTTCTTGTTTATCTATGAATATAATATAAGGTGTTCATATATGGAATCCTTTTTTCTAGTTTCTTCTACGAGCTGGAACTGTTCTTGTTTTGCCAGTTTACTCCAAAGTTGACAGACTAAACCTGTGTAGTAACGTGTCAAGCATATACTAACATGAATAATCCGTTATATAAAAGATTACATTTTATACATCGATCTCTGTATTAAGCAAAGCTCAAAATCTTTATTTTGCCCCGTTAATTGCTCCCTCAAGGTACATCGTCAGTTGGAATGGTCTTTGGAATCTTAACTTGTAAGAATTTGTGATCGCCACTCAAGAATGCCTCTGTTTTCCTCCAATCTGCATTTTCAGGCAGTTCAATCCTCCGAACACAGCCGTATTCCCACCAATTTCCAGCTCTCCAGTCCTCTTTTTGTTGCCTCAACTGGCCACTGACCACTAAAACTTTCCCATCCTCAACACAAACACGAATGTTACCCTTACCAACTCCTGTTTCAGATATTAACACTGTTAATTCATATTGCAAGCCATAAACATGCAAGTATTAAACTTCATTATTTGAAATATCGCTGAAATATTCCTTATTCCCAAGTCATCTTAGAATTTGCCCTGAATTTCTAATCTATTAGGACTCTCTTTCTTGAAGGAATGGAAAAAAAAAATACACAATGTAGTCATTAAAGAATTTTGTTTAGGGAGAGATTTTTCTCTCGATAGTTTTTCTTCTTTTATATTAGTTTTATCATATGTAGATTAATTGACCAAACCATTATAAACTATTATGCTTAGTTTAGTATATTTTTCTTTTGTCGTCTAATTTATCGTCTACCAGCTTTGTATTGTTAGTTTCCACATGCACCATATTATTTCGATCCCAACAATCTCATCAAGGACAAGGTTTATTTGTCTCAGCCAATATCTAAAAGAAACTATGAGTTGAGTAATTACACCTACTACTCCATATATAGGCTAATGTTTTGTGGACCTCCAACAAGTGGCGGAGCCAGAAATTCTACAAGGGGTTTAAGGTTTTGACCTATATTCGTAAAAAGTAGTAGTATAATTTTTGACCTATATACATAAATATGTTATAATTTTCTATATTTGACGGACCATAAAATTCAAATAAGATAGGCCTCTTTGCTGATTTAAGATGGATTTTTGAGTTTAAATTTTATTATTTTCAGGTCGAATTATATATAAATGTACAAAAATTAAAACATATAGATACATAAACTCAAAACTCATATCTATGAATATGGAACTTGAAAGTAAATAATATTGGAAGCACTCGATCACCTGGTATTTCTGCTCTCAATAGATAATCTGTCTCTGTTTGAGACCAGTCAACTGTGCACTGATTGGAGCTGCGTGCGTTGGACAATAACACATCTGAATCAAATTCCCATAGTGGAAATGCATCTGAAGGATCAAAGAATTTTCCGAACAATAGTGGACTAAACAGCGAACCTTCACACAAGAAATCTGCCTTGTGAGTTGTCGAATTTCCCTTGTTCATGAAAGTTACGAACACATCTTCTTTTAGTGGAACACACCATTTTTGTGGGTTTGCTTCTTCAAATTGAACTTTAATCTGTTTGTAACTGGTCATTGAACTTCAAAGATGAATATGAAAAGAAATTTGTATTGTTTTAATAATGCTGGACAGAGAATTTGAGACTTCAATTCTCCTTATACTATTAGTCTATTAGGAGGTGCCTATAGCTAGGCAATAACAAAGCAGAGAACAAATTCTCGTGGAAAAATATGCTGTAAAGATAAGGGAATATATTTCTTATCTAGAAAAACGAGAAAATTACTTGTGCAACACCACAGTAAATCAGCGGCAGTCGTTGAATTGAGAGGACGTGGCATAATAAAATAGCCAACTGTTTGTCTTATAAGAGTACTTCAAGTCCTGTTGTAACCATGAGATTACGAGTTCGAGCTGTGAATATAATCTCTTATAAAAATGCAAGGTAAGGCTGCGTACAATAAACCCTTGTAATCCGGCTCTTCCTAGACCCGAGCATAATGAGAGCTTAGTGCACTATTCCATGAATATGAATGTTCTGGTAATTCTTGGTTTGCATGGTCCTTTTCAATTTCTGGTCTTAGCCGGGGACCTTACTACGAGAGGGAAGTCCATCTCCGTGGAGTCCAACATGATAGTGTAAGAAATTTTTACATTGCCAGTGCATGTGATATGTCTTTATATTAACATTGCGCATGAGAATTCTTTAAACTGACATTATATATATGCATTATTAATGTAGTTTAATTGATGATAGCAAGTTAGTTTACTAGATTATTATAGGTTCATGATTATAATGTCATAGAAATTAATTCATAATACCTTATAAGTAATTTGATTGTATAAATATTATTTTGTACGTAAGGGCATAGAAGTCAAACTCTTGTAAACATTAAAAAAAAAAAAATTGAAATAAAATATATATTTTCTTTCAACTTTCTCTAATATTTCTTCATTTGTGGAATTAAATAAGCTTAAGTAAATGGCATTTTCATATATCGACTTAGTCCAAAAAGCAGATGGTATCGGTCAGATTCATATTGGAAATTTCATGGCCATAGCAGGTTGGAGTCCATCCCCTTTTGAATACTGAAAAAAGCCACTTTAGGTAGTGGAGCAACGCAAGAAATTAATAGTGTTCTTCTTTAATGATATTTGGTAAAAATTTAAACACATTTAAATATACATATAAAATATATTGAAATGACTTCATATATATCACATAAAATATATATATACTACACATCAATTATCATCTTAAATTATGACCCTCTTTAACGAAATAAATAAAATAAGGTGCATGTACTATATGGAAAATTTTCATAATAGTTACTACTCCTATAACATATGAAATAAAATGAATCACAGGCCATACATGGATCTCTTCAGCGTCATTGTCGCATTCTATAGCAAGGGAAATTCAAAGATTTTTTTTTTAAAAAAAAGGAAAAATGGATTGAAGAAAAATATGTAGAATTACACACAGCAAGAAAAATGCAAAACGATTGGTAAATTTTGTTACAGCATCTTCTGAAGAACAAAAATTCACTTTTTCCACCCAAAGAATTTCTCGGGTCAACTTCATGCCCCTCCCTGACCCGCACCCATTGCATGTATAGTTAATTGTATTTAGCCTTTTGCTTGATCTGGTTTCATATACAAAACCCCAAGTGAAAGAATTTATATATTTCTTTTTTCTTTTTGGGTGCGGGGCCTAGCCTTTGAATGACATGTTACATTGTAATGTGATTATTCTTGTTTGGTTTTGGGAGGTGTGTATTGAATTGACGAGTTTTTGATTTCATCATTGGCAAAGAAAGCTTCTTGATTTTTTTTTTTTTTTTTGGATTTATGGAGTGTTGTGTTTGATGCCACTGTAATTAAGTTTTTGCATGAAAAATTGGAGGTGAAGTCACAAAGATTGTTGTAACAAAATCTATTAAGACATTTAGAAGTGTGAAATATTGTTTCTTTTGAAGATCTGTTAAGAGTTGGTAGGTAAATTCAGCAAAAAGTTGAGCTTTTTGTGGCCTATTAAGTTGGGGTTTATCTGAAATCATTCATGAAAAGCTTTTGCTACTTCTTTGATGCTAATTCAAGGGAAAATGGGTGTGAGAGTAGTAGTTCATATCTTTGTAGTATTCTTTCTGCTTTTCACTTTCGTAGCAGCAAATCCTGGAAGCAACAAGGATTCAGAAGATCATTTACTTGCCAATCTCATTAGCTCTGTGGAGATTAATAGAGACGTGGTACTGAACTTTCTTATTTTCTTTTAAGAAATTTACTTAATTGGTCTTTTATTGTTCTTCGGATAGGATAGCTCTTCTTGACTAGCATTAAGGAGAAGTTAAGCATTACTTGATTCCTTGTAGGAGTAGGAGTTCTTGATGTTCAGTTCTTATGTTGTCGAATGATTTTCATGCCATGCAGTTCGTATCGATTAATGAGAGCATTTGCTCTTCTCTGATACTAGGATGGCCTATGCTTGATATTTCAAAGTTTTATATAACTCTAAAAGGGCAGTCCGGTGCACAAAGCATCCCGCGTTTACGGAGGGTATGGGGAAGGGTCGCACCTCAAGGGGTGTGATGTAGATAGCCTACCCTAATGTAAGCATTAGTGGTTGCTTCCACGGCTCGAACCCTTGAATTTTAGTTTACACGGAGACAACTTTACTGAGTCCTCCAAGGTTCCCTTCTAGTTTTATATCACTCTAGCCTTTCCAACTTTGCTCTTTCATGTCTTTGCTTCCTTCAATGGCTCTTTATTGCTTTCCTGCTGCCAATTTTCCTTTATATGGGTCTAGGTTTATCTATCATAATCAAGCGCAAATAAACCCTTCAAGTTCCCTGTTGTTCCAACTCGCTTGGACCTGGATTAGCATCCATTACTCTCACCTACGACTCTCCTGAAATTAATTTTTGGTAGATGTTACTATTAATTATTTGATCTATACATGTTTGAGAATGAGCATTCATCAGAAAGCTTGATCAAATCTCCTGGTGCAGGTTGAGCTATTGTGGTTGAACTGTAGGATAGAGTTAATACGTGCTAATGAAGCTGTTGAAGATCTTGAGTATTATGTTGCAAAGGAAGATTCAAGTGGGAAAGACGAAGTCCTTCTTGACAGTAGGTCAGAAAAACATAAGCATGTCAATGTCATGCATCCGCTGGTTAAGCAAGCCCTTCTAGGTTGTTTGAGGGAAAAAAATCTCTTGTTATTTATATGCGGAGAGGGGAAGGGCTCGCCAAATTGGTATACCAAGTGTGTGGAGTGTCTCCTTTCCTGGCACCGAGCTCCTAAACGGCGAAAACTGAAAGCAGCTCCTAATCCACCACCTGCTCCTCCTAATTCAAAGTCATCTAAATCAAAAGATGACAAAAACTCAAAAAAGAAATCTGCAGGTAAAGGCAGTGAGAAAACAAGCACTCCTGTGGTTCCTATTATTGCGGCTGCTGCTGCCGCATCTGTTCTTATTGCAATCCTGTGTATATGCTGTTGTTGTAAGTGTTGTAGGAGATCGAAAAAGGGGTTGAATGATGAGAGACCTCTTCTTAGCTTAAGCTCGAGCGACTATTCATCACATAAGTCATCTGCTTTAGGAGCTTCATTCAGTAATCATTCAGTCAATAACAATCCCCACGATGATTCTAAGATTGAGATTGGAAGGACGGGCCCCGCTGGAATGCCTCCGTTGAAACCTCCCCCTGGTAGGATGATTCCTTCCGAAGCTCCTGCTAAGGCAGCCCCAGCCCCAGCCCCGGCCCCAGCCCCAGCCCCAGCCCCACCCCCACCTCCGCCTCCAGCAAACTTATCAACTCCTGCACCACCTCCACCACCAGTTAAGCCTATTGGGCCACGTCCCTGTGCACCTGGACCTCCTCCTCCACCACCTATAAAGCCTGGTCCTCGACCACCACCTCCAGGCAGTGGTCCACCTCGGCCACCTTCCACGGGCTTGAAGCCACCTCGACGTTCCCCTGCTGGACCAAATGCATCCGCAACTGGCGCAGCAGATACCGATGCTTCCAAAACTAAGCTTAAGCCTTTCTTCTGGGATAAGGTTCAAGCCAACACTGACCAATCAATGGTTTGGGATCAAGTCAAGGCAGGATCTTTCCAGTAAGTCTATTCTTTTCTTCCTTGATGCAGCTTTGAATTGTTTTAATAATAGACAGTGAATATCCTTTAACAGGTTCGATGAAGAGCAAATAGAGAGTCTATTTGGATATGCCTCTGCTGATAAAAAGAAGAATGGGTCAAAGAAAGAATCCTCCCAAGATGCTTCCAATCTATATATTCAAATTATTGATCAGAAGAAAGCACAGAATTTATCTATTCTTCTTAAAGCCTTAAACGTGACAACTGAAGAAGTTTGTGATGCACTGAAAGAAGGTGATCATCTGTTCCTTCTTTCACTCCTTCAATATGTAAAAATCAAAGAACTGCTTAAAAGAATGTCCCCTTTGGCACTATATTGGATAAAAACCCATGTTGTAGCTTATTGACTACAGAAAGTTTCCCTGATTCAGAGTACTGAATGATTATCTAGAGGCTTCTATGATCATTTGAGATCATTAACAGATAAATAATGTTTGCATGTAATTGCTTTAACGTGCGTTTAACTGAAGAGAAGAATCTATGAAAGAGGAGTGCGCAAGATTCGTCTGCACATTCCCCTCTCAAGTGTTCCAAAATTTTTGGGCCAATCTTTCTTTTTTATTTTTACTGGTTCTATAGTAATTCAAAGAAAGCATTGTGCTTAACTTATTGTCGATTTTCCATCTCCTTCATGCCAATGATTGAACATTTTTAAAGGTCCTCAAAGATTTAATTCTAGTTGTATGTCATGCTTCTTTGGTAAACTATTTGCATGCCTTAAAATCCATGGGCCAATCTAAGCTATCAACAGCGTGTGTGGACCCGACCAGGTATATAGACTGCTCTCTCTGTTGTCTGTACCTATTTGAGGTAAATCACGCTATCAACCTCTGCTTCATTCTTGATCCATAAAGGTTTACTTGCTTTTGTTTTCTATTGTTAGTTGTCAAAATGTTCCGGGAATTGTTTTTCCAAAAGCCTAATTACAGGCATGTAATGCTTACTTATCACATGAGTTTTTGCTTTGTTATACTGCCTCTCAAACTAAAACGCCTTAATTCAC